ATCTGCAAAGCAAGTGGTCGCTCTGAGATTAATCGGCTCGCATAGTAGGTCGAATATCCAGGTTAATAAAAAAAAACAAAAACAAAAACATAACGTCATTTAATAGCAAAACATGTAATTTACTCTATTCTTTACGGATTAACGAATATTCTCGTAAAAAAATTTATATGAGATGTAGACTCGCTTGACCCTAAAATAAAGATACTACAAAAATCTTGGTTTTTATAGTTCATAGCTTTTTATGGCGTAATTAAAATTCAATATTAAATTTATTATTTAATATTATGGTGGGTTAGGTTTGAAATAAATTTGGAGATAAAGTTCATTTACTCTCAACAAAAGTACATATAATTGTCATTTATTTTACTGCACCATAACTTGATTTTCCATGGCCAAAAATTTGACTTTTGTAGAGAAAGAGTTTTGTTGTTATCTGATATATTTTTGAACTTATTTTTAATATTTATACTGTATTATAAAACATTTGATAAAAAAAACTCTTAAAAACTATTTTTATGTATATTATTTGAAATTCAAGAGTACAAGTAAATTGTGTGTATGTACAACTTATTAAAGCTTCATGTTTGAATTCGTGTAATTAACTAAGATAAACATCTATTTCAAATATAGAAAATCTATAATATAATTAAGATAACCAATCGGGTTCTAAGAGAACGTTTAATTATTATCTTTATAAAAAATTATATTGTTAAACCAAAAATAAATTACTTTGTTATTTAATCTAAATTAAATTATAATAAAAATTAAATTAAAAAAGTTACACAAAAATATGAGAACAATTAAATAATTAGTTTGATACTGATATCGATTTTTTTTTTCAAATTTATATTTTTCAAAATCACATAAAATCGTATTATATCGATAACTCATAGGGTGCGTTTGGTACGCTGGACAGGGTGAGACAGGACAAGACAGAATACATTTGTCCTACGTTTGGTGTGACTAAATGTGGAACTAAGTGGAACTAACTTGTACAAGCATGGGACAAGCGTGTTCCACCATTAACCCTGGAACTAAGTGGAACAGAAGTCTTTTTCCCTCATTACCCCTTCTTCCCCTACACGCGAGTTCTGCCTTCACAAGACCATCGACGGCGACCTTCAACAGGCAACAGCCCGCTGCTCCTCCCATCGACGGCGACCTTCAACAGGCAACAGCCCGCTGCTCCTCCCATCGACGGCGACCTTCAACAGGCAACAGCCCGCTGCTCCTTCCAATCGATCTCATCGTCTCCCATGAGTTGCTGCCTCTCCCGAGTTCACGTCGCCTTCACGTCGCATTCCACAGCTTCGCCATCGCCGGTCGCCTCCACCGTCTCCATCGCCGGTCGCCTCCACCGTCTCCGTCTCCTCCGTCGCCGGTTGTCGCCTCCACCATCTCTGCATCTGTCTATCTTCTGTCTCACAACAATCAGGTATTTCCTGACTCGAACTCCTCCCAAATCTCCCTCTGTCAATTTTTACGACTATGATTTGTTGTATCATAGTCAAGTTCCCTGAATCGATCTCCTCCCATAGTCTGTATGAGCTCAGGCAATGAATTTGGTAATGAATTTGTGTTCGATTAACAGTGTCTTCCTTGCATCAATTTGTGTTTGAATTTTGGTTTGGTAATGAACTAAGGAACCGTTTGTGTGATTGATATTGTGGATGAACTAAGGAACCGTTTGTGACTTTAACTTGAATTTTGGTAAATGTGTTTGATATTGTGGATGAAGATGATGAACCCACTGCCCCCGCATTTTGTAGTGAAAAAAACACTAAACAGCTCACTAGGGGTAAATTGGTCATTTTAACCAGTTCTGTCATGTCCTGTCCTGTCTTACCAAATGCTAAACAGCTGTCCTGTCCTGTCCTATCCCGTCCTGTCCCGTCCTGTCCTGTCCTGTCCAGTCCTGTCTGCGCACCAAACGCACCAATAGGGAATCATCCATGTTTTTGGTGTTGCTTTGGGTATGTAGTGTATCATTATTGTTGTCTCTTGAAACTTATTCATGTTTTGACTGTTTTAGATAATAGAGTTTTATCCACATTTTCAGTATTTAAACATTTAATTTCATTCACGTTATCAAAATCCAGTTATGTATATATATATTTGAACTTTATAGTTTAAGGAAAAGACAAAATCACCTTTTTATTGCCTTCCGACTTCCTTTCGCCTGTATTTTTTGTAAATTATATCATTCTTATAACTGAGTCACATTTATTGATGTTTTGATGATCAAAGGATTTAGAGCATGTTCATGCATAGGCTTTTCATAGGTTTACCTTTATAATTAGTATGATGTTTGGTTAATGCTGAAAAATGAAAATAAAAATAAAAATAATAGAAAATAAAAATGAAAATGAATTTGTATGAAATTTTGGGTTTCTAGGGGAATGCGTCGATTATATTTTAGAAATCAAATAGTTTCTTTTGTTTTCATTCTCATTGGTTACTGCCTAATACTTCTAACCAAACACCATTTAGTTTTTACTAGAAGGATACTCGCATAATCCAACGAGATACATCTTGATTTTAATGTTTCGTTTTATTTATTTTTGTCTCAGTCGATGTCATAATACGGTTTTATGTGGTTTTGAGAAAACAATTATGTTTATATTTTTGAATAAAATACACATATGAAGATATCATAAAGATTTTTCTCCTTTTTTTGTATATTTCTTTAATTCATTTTTTTTATTTTTTATTTAATAATATATAATTTTTTATAATGATAATAATTAAGTATTTTGTTAGAACTCAATGATTATTTTAATTATATTTTAAATTTTTTATATTTAAAAGATGTTTATCTTTTATTTGATTATGTTTATCTGCAGTTAATTACACAAATTCAAACATGAAGCTTTAGTAAGTTGTATTCAGGGGCGGATTGAGTTTATGTTGGTTGGGATCCTACAAACCCACCAATTTAAAAAAAAAGACTATAAAAAGATTTGTTTAGTAAATTTTTCTATTGCGCGTCCAACAAGAACAAGACAAAGTCCCCCAACTTGATATCTTGATTGTTAATTGGTCCATTTTGCAGCACACCCTGATATTTTCGTTCAAAATATAAAATATAAAATTATACACCCCGATGAATTAGTAAAACGTCAACTAAAAATCGATTAATGTTTAGAGCATTGCAATCAAATTCTTTAAATTTAAGAAAATGAATTTTAAATTAGATTTTATTACAACATATTCTTCAAAATAGTGAAAGCATGATTTTTCACGTTTAAAAAATATTATAGAAGAGATAAACAATTATTTATGAGGTTTTCTAACCACACCCTCTCCTAAACCATTTATCCACCCCCTCTTATACTAATGGACAAAAAACAACTAAATGACAAATCTCAAATATTTTTATTTTTAACCTTTTTATATTTTAACTTTTAATCCTTATCCTTTTTATATTCTAACTTTTAATCCTTTACCTTTTTAACATGTTTTATATTATTATTAATTAATAAAATATTAATAATACATATTTCAAATATAAATTAAATTTATTAATTAAAACTTTGATTTTTCATGTTAAATCAACATATTCATAAGCAAGAACATGATTATGTGCATCGCATACCACCGTCAACGTCCACCAACTATGTTTAGCCGAAAATAGCGCTATCAACTCAAATGAGCATCCAAATTTTTTTGTTCCCGTATGACGAATGAGAATTATTTTATTTTTGTAAGCTCCGCCGTGTTCACACATAAAATATAAAGTTATGTATTTTAATGTGATAATGATGTAAAACAAAAATTGAAAAAACAAATGACATATCATAAATTAAATAAATAACTATAAATGTAAATATTAAAAATATTTTTTCATATTATATAATATATAATAAAGTTAAAAAATATTCAATATTGGGCTTATTTCGAATGTATTGACGCGACGATTATAATGGCGTAACTTGTTAAAATTAAAAAGTATTTTTTAAACATATTTTAATTGATATACGATTATATATGTTAATTTGATCAGGATATAAAATGAAAAATTTAAAAGGAAAGGATATAAAGTAAATTAATTAACTAATTATAAGGGTATAAAATGTAAATTTAAATTTTTTAAAATTAAAAAAAGTGAATTCGGTGTGAGTGTGTGAGGAGAATGAGATGTGAGGGAGATAGTGTGTGAGAGGGAACATGTGACAGGGGGTAAAAAGTTAGAGCAGGGATGAAAATATCAACCCCTTATTTATTATATTCTAGCAATAAGAAACATTAATATTTAAAATTAATGGAAGATAAACGATATTCTATTAAATATTTTATAAATATAATTAATGCTATAATCTTTAAATATAGAATCTGATGGAGATTAGTGTAAGGCTTCGCAAATAGTTAATAGTTGTTTAATTTTACATATTTTAATTAATTAATAATTTCTTTTTAAAAATAAACAAATAAATTAAATAAAAAAGCTTTATCATTTATAAAATAAAACTTTAACTTTTATTTAATTTACAAGAACATTTTTTAGATCGTTATATTTGTTTTTTGACGATTCAATATATTGAATAATAATAATATAAAGATAATTGATAAAAGTAAATTTCGTGCAGATTTTACAAGCGGACCCTACTAGAATCATATTTAATTCAGAAAAAAGTAAATTTCACAGGATGAAAAAAAAAAAAAAAAAGACAAACGTACAAAATGTCAGCTATTTTGATCAAATTGAAAAAACAAATTAGCTAAAATACAAAGATGTTGATCCAAAATAGCTAGTTTTTATCATATACATGTCAACATCAACCTTTTTTTTCTCTAACCACAAGGGTGGTGTCTGATTGGTTTGAGTTCGGCTTCAAAGATCAAAAGTACCAGGAGGAATAAAAATCCCCTTATAGCCACGGAGGTTCAAATGTGGTGACTCCGGACTATTTGCAAAGCAGGTGGTCGTTCTAGGATTAGTCGACTCGTATAGCGGGTTGGATATCCACATTAATAATTGTTTTTTTTTCATTTTTGAAGATGGATTTCATTTTGATATTGGAAAGCGTACATCATGCATCAAATCTTGTACCTGCTGCTAACAACATCTTGCAGGCACCAATATTATTTTAACATCCATACAACTAAAACTTACTTAGGCAAGAACATTCGGATCAAATGCCTCCATTCCTTTCCCAACAAGCTTGCACCTCATCAAACTCCCAATTGTATTCGAAACCATCTTGAAGTCCTCCCATGGATTCCCATTTGCCAGTTTCTTATACAAATAGCTCTCAAATGTCATTCTTTGCACATACTCATCTCCACAGAGCTCCACCAGTGCCTCCCTTGCTGCATTGCTTCCATAGAACACATGTTGCAGCAAATCCAAGAACTTGAATGTGTTTATGTACTGTGAATCCCATTGTTTCAGATACTCTCTCTTCAGATCGCTCTCTTCGATCATCTTTTGCCCTCCTTCCGATGCTTTCACGATCCCTTCGCCGCACATTCTTCCGCTTTTTGCTGCAAAATAGATCCCTTCGCCGGAGCATTTCGTTACATACCCGGCGGCGTCTCCCACCAGAGCCACCCTCCCACGGACGCGAACTGGACGAGGGTGTTCCGGAATTGGATGCGCTTCTACTTTAATCACCGTCCCACCGGCGATCTTTGGGAGGACTCTTGATCGGATCGCTTTTTGGAATTGTTTGATGTTTGGTTTTGAGATTACAGTTCCGGTGCCGACGGCGACGTGATCGCATTTGGGAAACACCCAGGCGTAGAAATCCGGTGAGACGTCGTTTCCGATGTACATCTCGGCGAGATTGTGGTAGTATTCCATTTTGTCGTCTGGGAGTCTGATTCGCTCTTGGAAGGCGATGGCACAGGCGTAGTCTCCGGCGTCGATTGATTTTGCGACGCGGCTATTGGCGCCGTCGGCACCCACTACGACGTCGACGGGGAGGTATTTGATGGTGTTGTTGACTGTGTAGTGGATGATGTAAGGTTGGTTAGGGAAGTTTGGGAGGTCGAGATTCGTGACAAGGCCTTTGAGAAGAATGGCGCCTTTGGATTCAGCTCTTGATCGGAGAAATGAATCGAGGACTTCACGGCGGAGCATGGAGATGTACTCATTGGATTTGAGGGTTTTGCCGAAGTCGACGGTGAGGTTGGACGGGGATACGATCTTCATATGGGTGACTTTCCGATCGACGAGCTCCGGCGGTATGGAGAACTCGTCGAGCATGCAGAGTGGAATAGCACCGCCGCATGGTTTGGCGCCGGTGGGGCTGCGTTCGAAAAGATATGTCTCTACTCCGCCTGAAGCTAGCGACTCAGCTGCGGAGGATCCCGCCGGGCCACCGCCAATGACGGCGACACGTAGCTTTCGGCCGGAGATGGGCTTGTTTGAGGCGGAGATTACGAGTTTGGGAAAGGGTTTGAATCTGGGGGTTGGGGATTTGGAAGTGAAAGTGAGAGAGTGTAGTGGGTGTGCAATGGCGGCCATGGCGGATTGGTTTTCTTAGTTAGGGCAGAGTAACGTGGATCTGTTGGGATTAATAGACCTCTATTAAAATGAAGTAATAAAAAATTCAAAATACAAATTATGTGGATTGGTTGTATAACTTTTAATTAATTGTTTACTAACCATAAATAACGAAGTTTTAATTAAATTAAAATATTTATTAACTATAGAATAAATAAAATATAGACATGGATATTGGAAGCATTTCTACATGCTTTGTTTTCTTACGGTTTACAGATTGATAGAGTCATCTATAAGGCATGTGCCTGGCAACGCACGAAAAAATTATTGTGGCATGATTGTCTTAGATACATACATGTTAATGATATCGAGGATGCGAGTTTGACCAACTTATCTCGAATAATTTATTTTATTAACTGTAACTAAATACTTAAATGAATATATTATTATGTAGGCGGGCTTGCTCCCACGTACTACGTTAACACCTACTGACGTGGAGCTACAATATCCATGGTGGAGATCAAATTCTCTTTATTTTCAGAGGGTTGCAAAGAAACAGACTGGTGCATTGAGTTCGTCAGCGTTGCAAACGTCTGATGATTTAACGGCATATATTGAACAACTGAATCAAAATATTCAAGAGACTATTGAACTTGTTCACAATGGGGGCATCGGTCCAATGGTTGCTCAAACGCACATAAAAACCTACTCGAGCAAATTCAGCGTTCAAATGATGCCATAAAGGTATATATTTTTAATGTTTACTTATATATTATTGAGCATGATTTAAATAATCAATAGTTTCAGGTGCCTGGACAGTCTCAACATTTTAAACAGCCCGAATAGTATCAACAATTTCCACAATCTGAAATCAATCAAGGCTTTGAACATGTCGATAATTTCTATCAACCGAATACAACCCCTGCATATTATGATTGTTATCAACCGAATTTTAGTTTCGTATAAAATTATGTTGATAACACTGCATCGTCTATGATATCGGAGCGGACACCACCTTTGCACGAGAAACGCATCAGACACCCGAGTCTGATGGTTAGATCTCTGTATATGTCATTACCAGATTCAACACCTACATACAAGGCCCCGATACGGAGGACCGAGTTTGACATCTTGAAATTATATACAAATAATAAGCTAAAAGGACTCAAAATACCTCATTTCGAATGTGAACCATGGGGTATGTCCTTTTGGAGGACCTTGTTAGAGGATGGTTGGTTCGATACAATTGTAAGCAATATTTATTTACTAGTTATTATTTTATTTTTCTGAGTCAAATGTTCTTCTAACAATATGCTGATACGTGTGCATATTTGCTGATGAAAAAGAGACCTGACGGGTTACGATGTACGATATTATTGTGCCAGACATTACAGTTTATGTCACAACTTGGACTACAATATCTTAATTTGATAGATGACACAAAAATATACTATCCGCCTTGGTGATTAGTTGACGATGTAAGAAATAGTTAATATATGAAACACTTCCAAATAAATATTGATTTATAATGATCCATTTATTTTATTTTTTGTAGGTCATCATCTCGATTCATGTACACGGATGTCATTGAGTTACGACTGTTCTAGAATTAGAGACGTGGGTGATCCGCATATATGATAGCATGATTGGGCCCCACTCTTTAGCTGGTTGTCTACAAAGAATTGAATTTTTGACATGTAATTTCCCAAAATACTTTCATAAGATCAATTTTTGGCGTAAAAGAAGAAAAGATGTGCCTCAAGAATGGAAGCTTAGCCACGTTTATATCTCCAACGTCCCTCAACAAGCACCAAACTCGGGTGATTGTGGCGCTTTTGCTTGTTGGTTTATGGCAGAAATCATGGTTACTAGTGATATAAATTATATTAACAGTTACCCTGCTTACGACCCTAAGGTACTTAATAGAACATCTATGATGTATCTTGCTAATGAGTTCTACAAAAACTGTATTCGATAATATATCGGAAAGTTGTGTATTGAATATAAAGTTATACTCTCCGTTAGGCCCACTGGACAAAAAAATACAAGTTAGGCCCGACCCAGGCTTGTAAATGATCACCTCTACTCGTATGGACGCCATGCTATAAAACAGGGATAATGATCCCATTTTCAAACAACAAACTGACTCTTATACCTATTGATCCATTGCATTACAGTCTAATTACATGGCATTAATTGAATAACTAATGCACTCGAAATGTGTAATATATCAAATAAATATGTCGTAACTGCATATAACTCCAAAGGCTGAACAAAGAGCAAATAAACCAGACAAGTGTCCCCTAATACTCATTTTTGAGTCAAAATCAAACCAAAATCTTAACAACACGATTGACTATTATATAGAAGTCATTACAAACAATAAAACGTGTTTAACCAATGGTTAAATAAAAGCATGCTCCAAAAGTTTGATTAACTTAAAGATTCATTATTTCTCCAAGTGAAATCATACCATTTATCTCTAAAATACTTTATAACACAATAAAGTGTATTTTCCAGACGATTAATAAAACAAAAGACACTAATAGTGCATTAACACTAAATAATTCTCCCAAGGAGGAATAAATCATCAAAATCTCCACACTTGTGGTTTATTTATCAAAATGTTCAAACGTTCCAAATATGGGTATTTTATAAGATTAATAAACCAAATATACCTGACGGCCGAGTCCACCAAATAATAAATTCCAACTAACGACTAATTACAACCAAAATTGTAGTAGTGTAAGTCGGGTCGAATCCACAGAGACTCGGTCTAACGTTATACGACTAACGAATCAAGTACACGATGAAAACGTAAAAATACTAATAATCACGAGGGGGGGGGGGGTTGGATTTGATTAATTACTCTAAAAATGCGATAAAATATAAACTAAAACAATTGATTAAAGTCCCAACATCGATTTAATACCGGTTATGATGTTAGTGCCTATCATCGATTCCAAAAATGTAAACGGAAAGGACAAGCCTGAATTGGCTTTAATCGTTAACAAGCTATAACGACCCACATTTTCCAAAGATAATCATTGATTAGAACAAGCTCTCTAATCAACCCTTAACCACAAATACAAGTTTAAATAAGCTCTTAAATTCATAGGTGCGACTAGCTTTACTGGACTAGAAAAAATTACCAATTCAAAGCCATAAGCTCACAAGCTCGGCTTATCGAGGATCTAATCGCAAGATTTCAAATATTCAATCCGGAAACCTTATCGAAACCAAATGAATACTAGTGTTACTCTATCAAAATTCTAAGACAATTACGTATCTAAGAATTATGAATAACCATTCCATAAGAGAATTCCAATCAGTTAGCTAAACTAATTGAAAACCCAAATATAATAAACAATAAGTTCAGAAATCAAGCAAAAAGGCTTGTTCAAACATGTTTACAACGAAACCTCAAAGCAATAACAAATCAAAACCTAATTAAATCAATGTTGGAATGAAAAAAATTAGCAAAACATAACTAAACTAGATTACTGATTCTAAAGGTTTTAGGACTTACCGAAAGATTCAAGAAAATTGATGAGGAAAGTTGATGTCTTCACTGTCGCATCCGTCTTCTCCAATCGAACAGCCTATCCACGACTTGCTGCCTTCAATCGGACAGCCCCTCTCTTCTCCCTCAATCGCTTCAATCGAACATCCGACCACCTGCTGTCCTCGCTCACTCTCGCCTCAATCGGACAACCCCTCCCTTCTTCAGTCCAATTCCAATCGAACAGCTTGCTGTCCGCTTCCTCTCGAACAGCCCCTCTCTTCTCCATCTCGCGTCTCTTATAACGAACCAGCCCCTCTTCTCTCCTTCAATCGCGCCCCATGTCTTCTCCGAATCGAACCGCACGAACTGTTGCCGCTTCCTTTCCCTTCTATCCCACGTCTTGTGGCCGTATGCCTCTTCATCGAACAGCCCCTGCTTCTGATCGATCCAAAATGAAGAGAGGATGTGGGCTCTATTTGGGCTTGATGAAATCCACAAAAGTTAGGCCATAAGTTGGGCTTTTTCTTTCTTTTTGGGCTGGACTCTACAAAAAAATAACATAGGTTAAATAAACACATTTTTTTCTCACAATGATGAAAATAAAAAGCTTCTTAACCTTAACTTTTAACCAAGAAATATAGCTATCAAAACATCCCCACACTTAAAACTTTGACCGTCCTCGGGTAAACATTACAAATTTATCATGAATTGATTTTTAGAGAATGGACAAAAATACATAACATTTCACGGAGGTTCGACTAAACCATATTAGCGGAAATTAACACACGAGACGAACCAAAGATGAGAACATGCTAATTTCACAAATACCTCACAAAAGATATATGCAATACAATCGCTCATTCACACAATGGTGCAGGTGTTTTCACTCAAAACATCAATTCACATGTACATACACTACCATAGTCTTGAATTGGGTCTCGATTCTCCAACGCTAATGGTCAACCTAGGTGTGGATCAAAAAGGTCTTTAGTATGGGTTGTAACATGGCTAAGGGTCAAGGTAGGGAATAGTTTGGTGAAGTGACTAAAAGTGGACCTTGGAAAGGAAACTACAACTCAAACATGACTCTCGTGTCTTGTCAAAGCGATCACAAAATTTCTCAATCTCTTAGCTCTTATTCGCTAAAAACATTATGGAGACAATTGTGTTTCTTCCATTATTCGGCCTCCATGTATTCATTTTTTTTTCTCATTCCCACATATGAAACACACACACACACACACATATATATATATATATATATATATATTTTCTTTCCTTTTTTTTCTTTTCTCTTTTTCTCGAACCTCTACCGATCATTATATAGGTGTTGAGGATCGTGTAGAAGGTATAAAGATCAAACAACAAATACTCCTAACTAAGAGTATGTAGTCTCATTCCAAAGTCCGGTGAGGGAAGTGTTTGGCTTAAGGGTTATCTTGTGGTGTTAAAGTCAAGAAAATGGGTAACTAGGCTCAAAAGAGGTGACAAAAAAGGAAAACACATAAGGGTTGGC